CTCCCCCACCCGCCGCTCGCACTGCCCGGGCGGGACCGGCGGCTGCTCTGCTGGCGTCTCCAGGCGGCGGGAGCCGCGGGCTGGCGGCGCAGGGCGTGAGCCCAACCTTTGTCCCCCGGGGGGAACGCTGGCAGGCCCTGCCCGCTCCCTCTGCCTTGGCGTGGGACCACCCTGGCGGGGGTTCCTGCCTGCTCTGCCCTAGACGCCGGAGGCACAGCAGGGAGTCCCCTCTTCTCTGCGCCCCCGGCCCCGAGTTCGCGACTCCTGGGACTCCCCCTAAAGCGGGAAGGGGAGATCGGCGGGGCGAACACTTTCCTTTAGAAGACGGAATGTAGTCAGCGTTCCTCTGCCTGACTCAGCTCCTGGTATTCGGCTGCTCTTTGCGTTCTTTAAACAAATAAACAGTTCCTACTTCCTTGTGTCCACTTTTAAAGAAAACCCTAATGTCGTTAATGGTTTCTGGTAATTTACTTCAAGTTTGCAAGGTGAACTTTGAAGCCTGTAAATTGTTGTAACCTTCATTTAATGAAAGACGCTTTAAATAATCTTTGGTGCAAATTATGTAACTTCCTAATAATAATAACAACTCACCTTCTGTTTAGTTGATTGGCATACAGTAATGTGTACGGAATTTAGGTTTTGGTCGGAAGGTTTTTCTTGGCAGTGGCGCTAAAATTAAAATCTGATAGCTAGGTTTTTAGAAGTATGTAAGTGTGTGTTTTATCTCCTTGCTTGTTTAGAATTGTAAGAATTTAGATTTGGAAAGCCCATAGAACAGGACTTTTGAAATACTGATTTTCTTGACAAGGTAAAAGGTGTTAATATTTCTGATTTTTAAAAAAGTAATCTCATGCTTTAATAATAGTATCCTAATTATGCCTTTGGAATATACCAGAAGTTAATAACCTATTAAATTCTGCAGTAGGAGCAAATGACATGTGGTTATTGGTGTCTTTGATGTTTAAATATTGGTGGTAATGAAATTGTTAAGTAAGCTTTTTTTGAATTATGAACTACTGTGTGTGTGCGTGTGTGGTTTTTTTTTTTTTTCACTAGTTCCCTGTGGACATGGCATAATAAACTTTAAAAGGCTCTTTAAACTATTGTAGTAGGCTGAAGCTATTAAATTATAATGTAAGATCTTTATAGATGAACAGGCAAAAATAGAAAAGCAATTCATTATTTTATCTTTTTTAAAAAAATAATTTTTATCATGTATCTAAATGACTTTTGGTAGACAGACCTGAAGTTGACAAGTAAAGATGGACTCATTAATAATATTAACTTGATTTAGAATATTAAAATGGGAGAATTTTACCTGAGGGTGACCCAAGTCAGTATGGTGGGTTTTGCGGTTTATATGCTCTTTATAAATTATGATCTTGATTAAAAAGTTCATCACAAACCAGGAAATTCAGTCCATTTTATGTATCAATATACTAAGATGTTCTGTTTCTCTGATAGTTTCTGATTTCAGGGTGTCTGAGAAAAAATAGTTTCTCAACATAGATTCTTTATAATTCTTGATTATATATTTATTGAATCATAGAATTCTTGAGTTGGAAATAATCTTAGTGTTGTATAGCTTAACATCTTCATTTTCTAGGAAAAGGAAAGTGAGGTTTATAGAGTTAAGGAGTCCATAGTTGGACTTATTAGTGGCAAAGTTGAAACTAAATGCTGAATACTTGTCTCCAGATTCCAAGTACAGTGCTCTTTTCACTATATACTATTGTTAGATAAACAAACCAGTAAACTATTCTTCTCAAAATCATATATGTAGCTAGCACGATTGAATCTTCCTGCATTTCTTTTCTTTTTTTAAATAACCACTGAATGCAATTACTTCACTGCTTTCAGTTTTTCAATTATTTTGTTTTCAGATTTTCAGTATTTTAAACAATGTTTAGTGAGTATCTTTGTGCATGTTTCCTCAAGCACATGTATGAGGGTTTCCCTAGAAAGTATACCTACCTGTAGGTGGAATTGCTGGGCCATAGGTTGATGCGCATTTTCAGCTTTGCTAGCTGCTATCACATTATCCTCTAAAGTTGTAACAATTTGCATTACTGCCAACGGTATACAAGTCATCCTTGCCCGCACTTGGAATTGTTAGGTGGCATGGTCAGATAATTAATTTTATGCCAATCTGATAAATGATGTTTTGTTTTCTTTGTTTTGAAAAGATTTTAACTTTATTTTTAATTTACATGAAATGAAATTAATGCTTTTTCTTGGACAATTGTTTTGACAAATGCATAGAGCTGTGTGACTACCAAAATCGGGTACAGATCCAGCACCCAAAATTCCCTTAAGCTGCTCTTCCGTAATCAACCCTTCTTTCACCTGTAACCCTTGGCAATTAATGACCTGTTGTCTTCCCCTGGAGTATGTCTTTTCTAGACTATCATATAAACGGAATCAATTAGTATTTATTTAGCCTTTTGAGTCTTGTTTCTTTCATTTAGCATAATATAGTTGGGTATTCATCCATGTTGTGAGGCTATCAGCAATTCCTTCTGTTTTACTGCTTAATATAGTATTCCATTGTATGGATTTACCACAGTTAGCTTATTTGCCAGTTGAAGGATATTTGAGTTAGTTTTTTAAATTAAAAAGACTTTTTTAACCATGAAAAAGCTGCTATAAATCTCTAGGAACAGTTTTTGTGTGAACATAAGTCTTCCTTTCTGGGTCATATGGTAAGTGTGTGTTTAAACTTAAAAACCGGTGTGTGGTAGGCAGAATAATGGCCCACAAAGATAGCTTAATCCCTAGAACCTGTGAATAAATTAGGTTACACGGTAAAGGCAAAATAAAGTTGCAGTGGAATTAAGGTTGCTAATCAGTTGACTTTAAAATAGGGAGGTTATCCTGGATTGTCTAGGTAGATCCGATGTATCATGAAAGTGCTTTTTAAAAGGGAGAGAGAAGCAGTATAGTAAGAAAGAAAAAAAAAAGATGTAAAACAGAAGCAGCACCAGAGGGATAGATGAAGAGTTCTTGGTTTTGAGGATGGAGAGAGGAGTCAGTCATAAACTAAAGGAATGTGGTCTTTAGAAGTTGGAAAAGGCTAGGAAATGGATTAACAGAACACAGCTTTGCCAGCATCTTGATTATAGCCCAGGGAGACCTATCTCAGATTTTTAACGAAAAGAACTGGAAAATAATAAATTTGTGTTGTTTAAAGCCACTAAGTCTTTGGTAATTTGTTACACAACATACTTTTCCAAAGAGCCTGAACCACTTTGTGTTCCTACCAGCAATGTGTGAAGAATGTTCCAGTTACTTTACATCCTCATCACTATGTATGGTCAGATTTTTTACCTTTACATTCTGATAGGTTTGTAGCCTTATCTCATTGTGGTTTTTATTTGCATTTTCTTGTGACTAATATGTTGAACATCTTTTCATATGGTTATTTATCATCTGTGTATCTTCTTCTGGTGAAGCAAAATCTTTTGCCCATTTTAAAATTGGATTTTCTTGGGCACATGGGTGGCTCAGTTGGTTGAGCATCTGATTTCAGCTCAGGTTGTGATCTCCCAGTTTGTGAGTTCCAGCCCCACATCGGGCTCACTGTTGTCAGCCCGTCAGCGTAGAGCCGGCTTCAGATCCTCTGTTCCCCTCTGGCCCTATCCTGATTGCGCTGTCTACAAATTGGACTTTCTTAATGATGAGTTTTGAGTTTTTCATGGTCCTTTGTCAAACAGGTGATTTGCAGTGATTTTTCTGCCAGTTTGTGGCTTGCTTTTTCCATTCTCATAACTGTGCTTTTTGAAAACAGGTTTTACATTTTGATGAAGTGCAAAGTATCAGTATTTGTGTGTGTGTATGTGTATCTCTTGGCATTGTATATAAGCACTCTGTCTAACCCAACGTCACAAAGGTTTTTCCTGTTTACAAGTTTTATAGTTTTATGTATATTAAATTTAGATCTGTTTTCCTTTTTGAGTTAATTTTTACATAAAGAGAATTTAGGGTTGAGTTTCATTTATTTGTCCAGTTGTTCCATGACCATTTGTTGAAAAGACTACATCCTTTCTCCATTGAATTGCCTTTGTCTCTTGGTCAAAAAACATTTGACTACATTTTTATGGGCCTATTTCTAGACTCTTGTGTTTCATTGATCTGTTTGTCTATCCTTTACCAATATCACAATGTCTTGATTACTATAGTTTTAAAACAAATCTTGAAATCAGGTAATGTGAGTTCTCCCATATTTATTCATTTTTAAAAATTGTTTTAGTTATTTTAGTTCTTTTGCCTTTCCATATAAATATTAGGATCCTCTTGTTAATATCCACACCAAAAAAATATGCTAGGATTTTGATTGGGATTGTGTTTTATAGATAAACAAGGATGATTGATATCTTAACAAAATTGAGTTTTTCCAGTAAGAACATAGTATTTTTCTCCATTTACCTAGGTCTTCCTTTCATATATGTTTTGTAGTTTTCAACATATAAATCCTGTAAGTACTTGATTAAATCTATACTTAAGTATTTCAGTTTTTTGGTCCTATTATAAATGATTTTTTAAAAAAGCATGGGTTCTAATTGATCATTGCTAGTTTATAGAAATATAATAGATTTTTTTTTGTATTGACTTTGTACCCTCAGTTTTTACCAGACTCATTCATTAGTTCTAGGGGTGTTTGTTTTTTGGTGGATTTCCTGGGGTTTTCTAAGTAGACAGTCATGTCATCTGTGAATAAAGAACTGTTTCTTTCTAATCTGATGCCTTTTCTTTTTTTGATTTATTGCACTTACTGCACATCTCACATTCTAATGAGATGTTTGAATAGGAGTGATGAAAGGAAACATCTTTGCTTTGTTTACAGTCTTAAAGGGAGATCATTCAGTCTTTCACCTTTAAATATGATGTTAGCTGTAGATAATTTCATAGATTCTCTAAATCAAGTTAAGGAAATTTTCTCTGAGGTTGCCTGGGTTTTTTCATGAGTAGATGTTGAATTTTGTCAAATGCCTTTTCTGTATCTGTTGAGGTAATCATGTGGGTATCTTTTCTGAAATCTGTTAATATGGTGACTTACACTAAGCAATTTTCAAATGTTGAACTAGCCTTGCATATTTCTAGGAAAGCTCTGGAGTTGTTTCAAATAAAAGTAATTTTGGGTTATTTTTCTTTGACTTGTATACATTAGCATTTATTCTTAACGATGAAGAAGGAAACTGAATATAAGATTTTGTGAGAGGGGTCCCTGGGTGGCTCAGTCAGTTGAGTGTCGGACTCAGGTCATGATCTCATGGTCTGTGAGTTCAAGCCCCATGTCGGGCTCTGTGCTGACAGCTCAGAGCCTGGAGCCTGCTTC